AAGACCTTAAGAAAGCGGAGGAGAGTTAGCCTCACATAATCCCACACTCTTAATGTCACTTCTCATCTGAGAACACCCATGTGAATGATGAGGTAAACCTGACACCGTATATGGAACTAACAGCTCTAGAAAGCAAAACCAAACTATGATGAAAGCAACTTAAACCAAAATCCTCAGCATTAAATTAAAACCAGAATGCCACCTACTCTCCAGAACAGGCTAAGGCATTTTTCTTGTTTTCATTTTTCCTTCTTCCTGTCAATCAACACCAATTACATGCACCCCTGAAAAATAAAACCTGATCATCAACTGTCTGCTAAGGCAATTCAGTTTTAACAACAGCTCCTCCACTACTGTTTTGATAATTAGGTCAGCAGGTTATCTAGGCATTTCCTGTCTTCCTAAGATACCTAATGTTAACTTTTTTTTCAAATTTATAACTTAAAAAGGCAAAACATACCAACCTTCTTAGGTTTGTATTTCCCCACTAAATCCTTAATGAACTGGTAGCGTTGTTTGTACAAAGGAGGCGTAAATTTAATAGTTCCTGTAAACTGTTCTTCTTGAAAGTTCTTATCCATAATATTTTGCTAATGCTAAAATTAAAAAGTTAACTCATTTTCTGAAGTACTTTGTAACATATCAAATTACAGAGTTTGCTGTTTTCAGCGGTGTTCAATTCACAATTAAGCAGGGGTAGACCTGATCCCAGTTCTATTCAGAGAATGACAAAAACATAAGAATTAGTGAACTTAGGCACTAGCTGCTCCCTCCACATATAATGACGTAAATAACCTTTTCATAAACAATTATAAGTCATATACATTAAAAAAAGTTATCAAGTTTCATAATTTGTCACTCTCCAGCCAGCACACCTACAGCGTTTACACAACTGCAACATATCTAATCTTCCTTAGCTTTTCCGGCAAGCACAGAAAAATAAATACTTTCTCGTCTCTCATCTATCACTTGTTCTATCTTACAATTCAGATGATTTTACATCTGGATTCGTGTATGTATGGCTCCATACAATTTCTACAATGTAACAACTAGCAGGAAATATCTGAATAATTACTATGTTGTGCAAGGCGAGAGGTTCTGCTAGGCCTTAGCTTTAGATCTACTATGAGCTAAACCTTGTCATTGGTGCCTGCATTTTACAGGTAATCTAACATAATTCAACATGGCATTAGAGTCATAACCATCAGTGCATTTCCAACTCTCCCACCTTTTATTAAAAACTACATTTTAGCACTCACGAGCATTTAACAAGAAATATCTCCACTAAACCTAAAAATAAGGCCCTAATGGACGAACTCCACGGGAATCACCTAAGTGAAGGAACGTGGTCCTGTGCGCACATGGCTTTCCAGAGCCATCCTCCCAGGCGGCAGCTGCAGCCCAGGGCTCACTAGCAGGTCTAAGGGGCACCGGGTCCAACACAACCAAAGCAGCTGGGCCAAGCCTGCTGGCAACTTGACCACCCCATAATGTCTTTTATACGTGAAGTATAAAGACATATATATATATACACACAAACCCAGGAAACAGGCTCAGCGTTCAGGCCGGTCATCCGCCTCCTCAGGAGCAAAGCGAACCTGCTGGGCTGCCCTCACCAGTAACCGGCTGAGCAGCCAGCCCCCAGGCACCCACCTCCTCATCCCTCCTAGGTAC